CCACGTGCGAGGTGGTGGAGGTTCAGTTGTGCTACAATGTGGCCAAGCTGATTTACCTGTGCAAGGAGAGGTGAGGGCAGCCGCATTGCATGGCGGGGCTCTGCCACCCCCACAGGGAGCCGCCCACCGCGCCACTGCCTCGGGCCCAGCTGGCACGGGGGCGGGGCTCTGGGGCCCAGCTGGCACGCGGGGCGGGGCTCTGGGGCCCAGCTGGCACGGGGGCGGGGCTCTGGGGCCCAGCTGGCACGCAAGGTGGGGGCTCTGCTCTTTTCCTGTTCAAGAGCTAGACTTCCGGTTCTGGGGTGACAGCCAGTCGGCTGGGGTGTGGGGCCCAGGCCTGTGAGTCTGAGTGTCGTCCCCCACTCTCCCCACTGCAGAAACAAGACCGAGAAGAGCCTGAGCTACTACACCAACCTGCAGAGGAAGACGGGCCAGCGGACGCTCATCAACCCCAAGCCCTGCGGCCACTTCTGCTGCTGTGAAGTGCAGGGGTGTGAGTGGGTGAGCGCGCCCCCATGGAAGGGCAGGCCCGGGCCCCGCGCCCGCACAGGTCGCGCCGTCACCCGGCTGTGTCCCTGCAGGAGGACGCCATCTCCTACTACTCGCGCTTGAAGGACAGGCTGCTGGAGAGGATGACGGAGGAGGAGGCCAGGGTCCAGTGCCAGCCCCTGGGGATGGCCTTTGTCACCTTCCAGGAGAAGGCCATGGCCACCTTGTGAGTGGGCGGTGCCCCCGACAGGGCGGTGCTCGGGGTCCTCTGGGCGCCCCTCTGGTACGGGGCTGCTCAGCGTGCTCTGGGTGCCGTCTGGCACATGGGGGCTGCACCCACACTCAGTCTCACGGTGCCTCAGCTGCTGTTTCGTGATCCTTGAGTATGGGTCACACACTGAGCCCTTGCTGGGCCCATGTGGCCAGGCCCACTGCCCTGGGGACCCCACTGACCCTGTGTCTTCTGCTTACAAGCTTCCATCTCCCACAGTCACAGGGGACTTCCTGGCGGGGAGACGGGCCTGAGGGTGGAGGGTGGAGGGTGGGGTCTCCGTAGCACGCTTCTGTGCGGGCCTCTAGCTCATAGCATGCTCCTATGCTTGGGATCTTGGGGTGTCCTCAAGGTGCAGCTGGAGGGGGACGCAGAAAGGAGGTGGCCACGCCAGCGGCCCCTCCTCAGCCTGGGGCGCTGTGGACCATGGGGACAGTCTCCTGGATGCGCCCCACAGACCTTGACTGGCCTGGAGGAGCCAGTGGACTGAGGAGGGGGTCTGGGGCAGGAGCGGGACACGGTTGCTTCTTTCAGGAGGGGAAGAGGGGGGCTGTGGGGACGGGCCGCCTTAAGTGGGGAACCGGGCGGGGAGTCCAGAGGCAGGATGGAGCAGCGGCGGCGTGGCCTGAGGCTACTGGGGGGACGTGGGAGCAGGGACGGGGCAGGCCGAGGCCTGCGCGGATGTGCCGGAGCTCTGGCTGGCTGGCTGCATGTCCCTGAGGCGGGTGTGGGGCAGGGCAGGACGCCCATGAGCAAGGGCTGGTCAGCAGCGCGAAGCCTGCTCGGAGCCCGCGTGGCCGCTTCCATAGAGCAGATGAAATTAGTCAGGAAGCCAGGCCTTGGGCTACCTGCCTCCTCCTATTCAGTTTGACTGACGTGCATGCATGTGGCCTGGCGGTCTGGCCATGGTGGCCTGGCTGCCGTGGCCCGCCTGGTGGTCTGGCTGTGGTGGCTGGCTGTGGTGGTCTGGTTGTAGTGATCTGGCCCCGTGGTGGTGGTCTGTACCCAGTGGTCTGAGCAGGCGGTCCGGCCCTGTGGTGTCCCCGTGATCTGGCCGCGGTGGCCTGGCCTGTGGCCTGGGCGCTGACCCGTCCTGCCCCACAGCATCCTGAAAGACTTCAACGCCTGCAAGTGCCAGGGCCTCCGGTGCAAAGGCGAGCCCCAGCCGTCCTCCCACAGCACAGAGCTCTGCACCTCCCAGTGGACGGTGGCCTTTGCCACCTACCCCGAGGACATCTGCTGGTGAGTCCCCAGGACGAGGGGGTGGGCGAGGGCCCGGGTGCCGGGAGGGGCTGCCCCCCAGCACAGGTGTGCCCTAGTGGCGCCCTGGGGGTGCGTGGGGGCGGGTGCACCCCGTTCTCCGTGCTCACACCCAGCCTTCACTGCAGAGCTACTTCCTGGCCCTGGTGGTGTCCGGTAAGGTGTCAGCGAGCTGTGTGTGTGGATTTGTGTTTCCTTGTAGTCACAGCCAAAAAGTAGACAGTGGAAGTGAACTTACATCTCTTCCTGTATGTCCAAAGTATGATTTCAAAATGACATTTTTTGTAATCAAGTTGTTTTAAGTCTCCTTTTCACACCGGCGGGCTTTGGAAGCCGGCGTGTAGTTGACACTCGCACCTTGGTCTGACCAACCACAGTGCCGTGCTCGGGAGCCCTGTGGGGCCAGTGGCCGCTGCTACCGGACACTGGAGCCTCTGGCAGGTGCCAGCTGGAGACAGGCCGGCGAGCTAACAGGCCTCCCCGCCCACCCCCACCCCTCACCAGGCCTCAAGCAGGGGGTGCTGGGGGCAGGGAGGGGCCTGCAGAGACTGGCATCCCTGGCTGGCCAGTTCTTGCCCGGAGCAAGCGTGGAGAGCTGGTTTCCGCCGGGCAGCCTCTGGGAGCTGTGCCCTTGGCTTCTTAGACCTTTCCGAACTTGGCAGTGGTTTGCAGGTCTGCTCCTGGCGAGAGCGAGAGGCCAGGGCGGCTCCGTTTGGCCTGTGTCTTTGCTCCTTGCTCCCTCCAGCCCGCACGCCCAGCAGCCCCCAGCCCCCCGGAAGAGCAGTGAGCAGCCTCGTGGACGTGTCTGTGGAACGCCGGGCAGCGCTTGTCTGACCCGCTCACCTGCCCTGGCTCCCGCGTGGGGGGTGCCGGCCCCTCACTCGGCGGCTGCGCGGTAGCAGTGAGTTGTCTGTTTTCCCTCGGAGCTCGCAGAGACCCAGAACTTGACCTTGCTGCTGCTGAAGGCTGGTGCTGAAGGCCCGTACCCCTGGGTCCGTGTGAGCCTCGGCTGGCCGGGCCGCTGGGCCTCCGAGCCAGGTGCCGCCGGAGTCCAGGCCCCCAGCCCGGGGGCTGAGCCGCCCCTCCGTGTCCCCGCAGGAAGAACCTCTCCGTCCAGGGCCTCCGCTGGTGGCTGCAGTGGCTGGGCGTCAACTTCACGCTCTTCGTGGGGCTCTTCTTCCTGACCACGCCCTCCATCATCCTGTCCACCATGGACAAGTTCAATGTCACCAAACCCATCCATGCGCTGAATGTGAGTCTCCGCCCGGCGAGGCCTGTTTCGAGAGGGCAGGGGCCGAGGACGGGGAGAGGAGCGCGGGGCCTCGGGCCGTGGGGCCTCGGGCCGTGGGGCCATGCTGCCTGGCGGGTGTGTCTGTGCGCAGTGACATCATGCAGGGGCCTTGGCCTCATGCGGGAGCAGAGGGGAGCGCGAAATAGCCACGAGCCAAAACGAGTCCAAGCAAAGAAGCAGTTACCGTTAACTTACATGGAATTTTGGGGGGACTTCCCAGATCCAGGCTGTACCACATAGCCTACGAAAGCTGAAATGACCCGCACAGCGCAAGCAGAAATGAGATGCGCCGGGGGCTGCCCGCTGCGGCGCATGTGGGTCTGCGGCCGCTGCAAGTCGAAGGCGGTGTTGGCTTTGTGCATAAACGTGAAACTGCTCCAGATTCTCCTGGTTGGGAAAAACAGCTCGCAGTGTGTAGTCTCTTACAAGCGAAGTGGTGTAACACAAACTGAAAAGTGGGTGCTGTACAGAGACGCGCACGGAAGTGTGCTCATAGACACAGGTTGCTTTTGGAGTCAGTGTCAGTATCAGCAGGAGTCATTTGGGGTGAAGGAGGTATTTGCAGCCCGAAGAATGTTCACTGCCCTTTAAGGGATTGCAGACTTTGGGGCTTATAATAAAGGCAGGAGCGGAGACGTCTCGGCCTTCGACCCCCGGGCACCAGTGATGGCTTTCTGTAGGGAACCGAGGTGAACTAGCTGGCCAGTAACGCAGGTAGACTGGTGTGTGTGAAATTGCTTTCTTCGCTCTAAAGCTGGTACCGTTTACTCCTGAACAACTCGAAGGTAACAGATGCCCCCACTTCATCCCCACCTTTTTGAAAACCTGGGTGCTCTTTTGATGCCCCCAGAACTTAGCTGTAGTCATATTCATATCTCCATATCCTTGGGAGACTGGCTTCAGAGC